AAGCTCACAAAGTTTAAACCAGCAGCAAAGCGGAGTTTGCATCTAGTTCACTCTCAGCTGAGACTGTTTGACTCCACAGAAAATGTGAAGCGAGGTGTGTGTGTGTGTGTGTGTGTGTGGAGAAAGTACTATGTATATACCATACAAGTATACATATGCTTTAAGTATTTTATTTAAGGGCAGTACGTGCACATACAGGGTTTAAGACGCCAACTGTGTCACACCTCTGCCTCTTCTTCCAGTCCAGTCTCCCTCAGTGCTGTGTCAGGTCTCTGGACTCTAACACAGCACCAAACATATGCTTAAAAACCGTAAGTATTACAAATACAGTTTTGTGAAATATAAAAACTCACTGTGAAGCGTGTTGCTTCACGAAGGAAATGAAAATCCAACCACATTACCAAATTCTGGCAGTTTATCTAAATGGAAATGTAAAATACTCCTAAGTCCTATTTTCAAATTTTTACTTAAAAATATTCAAGGAATCAACATTTTATCAGGAGAATGACCTACAGATATATTGTGGGGACAAACGTGCACTGGTGCCACATGGCACAGTCAAACAGCAAAGTCTCACCTGAAAACTATCTGACATCAGAACATTTGTCACCAGCTGCCCCCATCTTTAAGTACAGTACTAGGTTGGACTTTAATAAAATACAAATAGAAAATAATGCTTCGGTCAAAAACTAAACTAAACTATATAACAAATAAAGTCAGGCTGTTGGTGTTACAGAATGTAACAGAATGAAAAAAAACAGTGTTTTTGTACGTTTTGCGTGCACGTGAAGTCAGTGTGTCACCGAGCTGCCACACGCCAGTGTTTCCAGGAACTTCGCATTTTGGAGAAACAGATTTTTCCCAGCACCAGACGCATTTATCTCATACTGAATGCAAAATTACAACGTGCAAAGGTAACGCTTAACTCCAGGTGTCAGATGAGCTGCAGTGGAGTGTGTGTGTGTGTGTGTGTGTGTGTGTGTGTGTTGGGGATAATTAGACAGGAACATGGATGAGCACGTCCTCTTTTCTTGCGTGAAGGTGTTATTTTGTGGTCTCGTCGTAGCCACAAGGCTCCGACTCTGAACATGTGCGCTCGGAGTGCACTCCAACGTGCACCGTACATTTATCTCTGCAGGCAGCGGTTGTTTGTTTGCTTGCTCTCTTGTGCATTTGTCTGTTTCTTTTTTAGTCAGGCTGTGGGCCAAGGAGCAACTGGCTTGTTTTTGGTGCAATGCCAGGACCTTTTTAAAGGGTCAGTTCACCCAAACTACAAATGCAGATAGTGTGTGAGATTTCCGAGTCCACACCTGGACAAAGGAGAACAGTGGGATTTGATTCGTGGTGCTAACAGCATTTAAAAAAAATTCTGCATCACCATCTCTGGACGATCCACAAAAGACACTGTTCCTGAGAAACTGGGAAATTGTTTTTGGAAAAAGACTGACTCATAATTGAACCTGATGATCTGACTCTTGAAGATAAGACGTTTATGGACATTTGCTCTTTTTAAATAAAGCAAACAAACTCGTCAAATGAATATCACAATGGCAAAAAGTTTGTTTTTTGGGGGGGGAACCACCACTGCAGTTTCTAAAATTGTGAATTCATAACTATACCCCATGAGAAATCCAGATTATTCTTAATGGTCCACTGTTGCTTGGATTAACACCAGCGTTCGCTCTAGTCAGTCCTAGCACGGTGACACCACCCTTTACTTTATCTGTGCCCGTCCTGCAGCGACCTGTCGTGTGTGTAGGTTCCTGTGTGTTATAGTTTCTTTTTCTTCCTGCAGACGAACAGATGAACACGGAGGAGAAGAAGAAGAGGAAGCAGCGCAGGAACAGGACCACGTTCAACAGCAGCCAGCTCCAGGCTCTGGAGAGGGTGTTTGAGAGGACACACTACCCCGATGCCTTCGTCAGGGAGGACCTCGCCCGCCGGGTCAACCTCACCGAGGCCAGAGTCCAGGTAGGACATGTCCTCTGACATGTGATGTGTCCGTCAGAGCTCCAGGTAGTCACTGTTTTCCCTGACTGAAGCTTGAAGAGAGCAGGTTTTCCTGCAGCAGCAGTGCTTTAGCAGACAGGGTCCGTTTCTGATTAAAGCAGAAGAAGCCGTAAAACTGAGTGCACTGCAGAGTGTGCACAGCAGGAAGTAAACCCCTCTGGACCGTGGGGGTGCAAAAATAACAGATTTCTCATAAACACACACAGAAACCTGCTGCATTGCTTGGTTTGGGCCGACTTGTGGGACATTTAGGGAGCCCTTGTCTCATATAAGACTTAGTGAATGATTCATGAACAGTTTTGTCTGTAGAATCAACAGAGAACAGCAGCAACAGGCTTTAATTGGAGAGAAGTTTAGTAAGAAACTGAAGGAGAGTCACCAAAGAGGCTGAACAGCAGGAGCCCAGAGTCTCCACGTCCTCACATCAGCTGTTTACTCTGACTCCAGCACACTGACCTACTTAGCAGCTAGTCGTTATCAGGGGCTATTGGCATGTTTAGAGTTCATATTATGCACTTTCAAAAGAACTGATAAGAACTTGTCAGGGCCTTTTAAATACCTTCTGTCATGCTTAGAAATGAGCAGTGGGAGTGGAGTCTGTGAGCAGTTTGTAAACTCCCCAGAGGACTGGATGTGATCAGTAAAGTGGATGTAATGATGTCTAATTTCCTCGGCGGTTTACAGATCACTGATAAACTGCAAATGTGCAACACATGAGGGCTGCAGCCGAACAGGAGCTAAATATGATGATGTAACCGGCCAAATGCATGTCACACATCCAGACATGATCAGTCGAACAGCAGACGACGTGGATTTAAAACTGCAAGCAGCATTTTTGTTTTAGTGAAATTGACGGTTGAAGGTTTGGTTTCATTTGATTGGTTACAGAAAGTGACAGCTGCTTTCTGTCTTGACGCGCATTTGTGTTTCTATCCAAATTAAATATCATAACCTAACTGGTCACAGTGTGTTCCAAGTCTTACAAAAACATGTGAAATGTGCTAGTTTCTGTTACTTTATTGAACTAAATGCACATGAAAATTACACTAAAGTGGAAAACTGACAAAGTATTTGTGTCTTTAGCCATAAACCACAACAGTCAGATGAAATGAACACAGCGCTGGCTAAAGTAAAAGCTGACATATTGTATTAGTTACCCAAAATCATTTGTTGTGTCCTTTGCTGACTGAGACTCGACGTCTCATGTTCAGTTTTATTTGTGTAGCACCAAATCACAACATAACGCACGTCAGGGCGCTCACATAGTAGGGTCTAGACCTCTTATTATTATTACTATTAACTTTTTACTCTGTTGAATTTTAATATTAATGTGCCCTATTGTTGGGGCGTCTGCTGGCTCAGTGGTGAAGACACACACCTCATAATCACAGCGTCCCCAGTTTCCTGCAGGTTCCTCCTGTCTGTGTCTCTGCTGTCACTCACAAATACAGAAAATTAAAATATTATTAATTCCTTTCCAAACACATGTAGAAGTGGCTGAGACCATTTTGTCCCTGATTTATGTCTGCAGGACATACCCCAGGCCCTGAGCTTAGCCTGACAGACACATCTCAGGGCAAACACAGGAACAATTTAAGGCTGTTCCTGCATCTTCATTTTTATGCACTCAGTTTGTTTCATGTGGGTTATGCCAGCTGAGGAGAGGACACAGATGTGCAGTAACAAGTCGCTCACACTGTAAAAGCTGGGGGAACAAAACGGGGATGTGACTACTGTCGCCAGGACAAAGTGTGCCTTTGCTTGCACTGGATAAAAACTGAACTCAGAGAAAGTCAACTTAAGAACAAAATAAAAACTGCAGCAACTATTGAGTCCAGTGCTTGTAGGTCTTAGCTGCACTCATGTATACATGGCACTATAAATAATAGCGTATATCTAGTGCATCTACTGCAGATAAATACGTTTTTTTTTTTTGTATATTTTTCTGCCTTCTCTTTAATCAGCGCAGGGTTGGGGCTAGTTGAAAGTATTTGCTCTGTGGGCAGAGTGAGAGGGGAAAGAGGAAATAGTGATGTTAGACGGAGAAGAACAAGCACATCTGTGATTAATGTGCAGCAGAGAGCGATGCAGAAATCCTTTGATAAAAGAGACTTTGTGCTCATTCCTGAGGCAGTGCGTCAGTGCGCTTCTAATAATGGATTTGATTTCACAGTGAGGAACAACATTAGCACCCCCTCGAGTCACATCATCATCATCTGGGGGAGGGGTAGATGGTGGATTGTAGATGAAGTATGGGGTGTTACCGAGCCGAAGACGGTGGACAGGAGTTTAGGAGGCAGAGGAGCATCCAGAGGAAAACTTTAGCCTTTAGCTCCTGTTCTGCTGCGACTTCCTGTGTTTGACTTTACATTGTCCAGAGAAAACAGGCGGCGACGTGTGAACGGTATGATGTCCCTCATCCTGTCCACCGGCCAGAAACAGAACTGTTCATCTTTTAACAGAATCGGGTTTGTGTGACATCACAAAACAAAAGGTTAATTAGAAAAAATAAGCAAACAAATAAATAAATAAAACAGATTCACAACTGAGACAAAGAAAGGCCGCAGCCACCACCACTAGTACTGATATTATTCTTTTACAGCAGGTGTGAATCACAGAATCATTTTCTATTTCACTACTGTGTATTTATTGCTTAGCCAGCGATGAATGTGCAGCAGCAAAGGTGTAGTGTGAAACAGATCTATTCTTTGTGTCAGTCCTGATGATCTGCTTTCGATACTCAGTATCGAGTATCAGCAGTTAGTAGTACTGCGTTATGTCACGCAAACAAATATCTTTAATCTTCATTAGCGAGACTGATTCCTGCAGAGCTTCAACTAAAAGAAGGATGAACCAGCACTAGAGAGAGAGATCATGACATTTATTAAAAAACAAAGCATCTTTTAAATGCAACAAATGTGTTAAATGCTAACAGCGTTCCTGAATCACCTCATGATGTTGACACACACACAAACCTCAGAATTCAAGGTGGTAATTTCTCTGGTTGTGCAGGACGAGGTGTCTGCTGTTTAAATGCCTCATGTAAAGGTGTTGGTTATTAATGCACCACTTCATTCTTCATCCTGGGGTCAGTATGTGTGACAACTCAGAGGTCGGCCATTAGGTTGTGTGACAACATCTGAGGCGGTTTCATTCACTGATGAAGACTGAGATGCATTTGAGAGCTCAGGAGAGTGTCAGTAGTAAGTGGACCTTTGATCTGATGCTGTGTTAGAAATGTGGGGATTCATTCAGATTAGAACTTAATGTTAGTGGAAACATTGTCAGTAGAAAATCCAAGCATCCTGTGGTTCAGCTGCCAAAATGCACTTGTGTACTTGATGGGGTAAATTCTTCCCAGAGTGTTTTACTCTGACTGAAATAGTTAAACGAGACTCGTCATTTCATTAAATGAAAATCCTGTATGCTTTGTTCATAATCTCAAACACATTTACCCCCAATGTTCAACTTAACATCTTATTGTTTTTGAACCCTTTGAGAACCAGATTTGCTCAGTGTATAAAACAGTGGTGGCTCTCTCAGTGCTGAGGGGGTAAAACGAACACAAAGTGACGCCCCTGTCTCGCTGTGTCCTCTGTTCCAGGTGTGGTTTCAGAACAGGAGAGCTAAGTTCCGCAGGAACGAGCGCGCCATGCTGGCCAGCAAAAATGCCTCACTCCTCAAGTCCTACTCAGGAGACGTGACAGCGGTGGAGCAGCCGATCGTACCCCGCCCCGCACCGCGCCCAAACGACTACCTGTCCTGGGGCAGCGCTGCCCCCTACAGGTAGGGGTGTCCTCTGTTTGCTTACCTGGTTAACGCAGCCCCTTAAGACACTGCACTGCTTCTTTACGGACCAGCCCTGCTTTGTTAATGCTGCTGATCCTGCTGCAGAGGAAGAGGAACCCAAAGCCTTCACATGCATTTGGAAACATGACATTACTAAAATGTGAAAGTGATGGTTTACGTGTTTACATGACAGTAAAAGTAAAGTAGAAGAACTGTGGAATTTAGTTTTGCTAAAGCTGAAAACCTTGTAAGAAAAGACAAGGAAATAAATGAATAAGGAATCAACAGAGAAGGAAGGAAGGTACAAAATGAAACCTAGGACACACAGTGACATTTTTGAGCTTATTTAATTTTGAAAATAAGATCTGAATCAACAAATGAACTAAAATCATGTAGATGAATATTGTGAAACAAAAGTAATGGTGTAAAAATACTACCACAAATACCATTGTAGTACCGTGTTTCCTTGAACTGGACCTCACTACAGTACCGAGTTACTCTTCTCCTTTCTGCTGCAGAACATTAAACCAAGTGTCTCCAGCTGAAAAAGCAGAAGCTGATGCCATAGTTATCATTGCCATAACACACACACACACACACACACACACACAGAGGCCGGCACCGCTCTCTGTTATCGTTTCCTTCCTTCCTTTCCTCCACCTGCACATTCTCCTCATTGCTGACCGTCCTCTTCTGATCCAGCTGGACTCGCACTGCATTATGAGCTGCAGGTCAGCGTTTCATTCACTCAGCCTTTATCCGTACACAGTGAGCAAGATGCCCTGAGCGGACAGTGAGAGCACAAGTGTTAAGCCCCAAACATCTCATGTTGTTTGATGTTCCTCTTCTTGTCAACACATTCCAAGCCAGCGATTGCCTCCTACTGACTGTCGGAGCCCATCGGTGGCCACCCTGCTGCCTTGGCTGATGTGTTCCTTCATCACCATGAACACACACACTGGAGCTTATTCTGATGCAGCCCCACACACACATCCTGCTGCCACTAATGCACACTAGAGACCAAATGTGGATTCATCCGCCGCTGAAAATAGTCCCCAGTAAATGCACAGTTTCCTCCTCTGAGTAACGTTTTGCTAAAAAAAAAAAAAATAAAGGGGCAGTGACTGTTTCTTTTTTCTTGAAACTACTCAGCCTAGATTCAAAATGAAAAAATGTATAGCCCCTATATAGATGTAGCTTTGCATCTTCAGTAGGAACCGGTGGATTTGGAGCAGATAGAGTAGAGAAGTCCGTCCGCGCTGACTAACACGTTGTTGGGTTAGTTATTATATCCACACTCAGTCAGACTGAACTCAGTTAAAACCAATGGATCAGTTTGAGACCCTGGTGAACTTTGTTCAGTCGGAGAGGAGAACAGCACAGACTTTTTTTTAAATCAGGATTTCTATATGAGCTACTGACGAGCCGTGCGCTGTGAGAGTGTCGTGCATTTTGTCTAAACTCCTGGGGGTCTCGTCTGTCTGCTCAGAGCAGCTGGCGTTCCCTCTGTCCCCACTCGCTGAGCACACTTGGACCTCGGCTTCTCGCTGCTCGCTCCGCTAAAGGTCTCCTAGAAGCAGGCTGCATCTAGTCCTTTTCATTTGTGACTTTCCACCTTTATCCACACTTCACAGTTTTTGTGCTTTTTATTCTACCACATATCTGACGGTGCGAGTCACCGGTCACCACAGATCCTAGTTGTATTATTTAAAGATCAATACATTTTATCATGAAACACTTTTCTCATGCCTCAGTTCCCATGAGTAAAGAAAAAAAGGTAGTGAATCGGTTTGCCGATACGCTCAGAATGACTATTGTTAATGTTTTTAATTTAAACTAATGCTGTTCTGCATTAATAATAACAATACATTTTATTTAAGTTACTCAAGGTCAGCACACAAAATACAGACAAGCAGTACAACAAGACGACAATAAAACCAGTGGATACTTTTCCCATAAAATGTGTAATTCTGTCTGAGCATAATTCCTCGGGGTAATCCCGACTCCCTGTTAACCATCTTACGTAAGTAAAAACACACAGCTTGTATTTTCCCACTGTCGTGTCAGAGTGTCTGTTTAAACTGCCCTGCTAAATGTAACGCTTCACCACAGGCAACCACAGACGATTCAGACGTCAGATGTTTGATGTCTAGAGTAATAATTGATACAGAACAGAAATGGTACTGAAGCACTGTCACAGGTGTAATCACAGGATTGACTTGAGTCAGACCTGAGGCACAATGTTACAGAAGTAGTTTACTGTATTTAACATGTACGCCGTGGACTGTCACACAGAAGCCTGACCCTCATCAGCTCTGCTACCTCTGTGCACGCTGCACGTTTGACTTTGTGACAGCGATAATTGTATTTCAGAATGCACCAGTGACGATGAACTTGATGCATTGTTGTTTTACTGTGCGATTGAACATCCAAAAATATTAGTAGCAGTATTATTGTTACTAGCTGAAGCTGTGAGCATTGAGCTGAAGACTGAAGTCAGTCCTAGTGCTGTCACAAAGCTTGATGCGGTTTCAACGGTTCATAGTGAATTCTCTCCAACTTGTGCATTTCTGGTCTAACACTTCTGTCTTGAATGTATCTGTGTCTCCAGACTAACTGTGCTGAATCCAAACAGCCGTTGCCTTGCCCTCTCTCCGGTCGCTCCGCTCTGTCAGCGGGAGCGGGGCGGGGCCTGTGACCCTCCCGACGAGGTGATAATGTGAAAACAAACCGTATTAAATCCGCTGTCGACCCCTGTGACCCCGCTCTGCTACACTACACCAGATAATGAGCACTACACGGACACACTCAGCTCTACTGTGCAGCATTTTTGTGACTCTGGTTGCACTGGTCATGATTTACAGTAATCCTTCGTTATGAAGCCGAGTATGAAATGTCAGACCCTGTGGCCGTGGCTCCGGCTCGCTGAGAGCTGTTTGGTCAGGGCAGCGGGGGAATCTGTTGTGAGGCAGGAGCCGTGCTACCATCTGCTGCTCACACTTCACTGTATATTATCCTTAAGCTGGTAAATGATGCCCTCAGAGGACAAGTACGCTTTCATTTTGCATAGCTCTTGAATCTTTAAAGGAGTATTCCACTGTTTGGTACATTTGATTATGTGTCCTGGTTTCTGAAGCCTTGTTTCTTGAGCTTTTGTTGTGCCTTTTGAATGTTTTTGTGCACTTATTTCTTAAACATGACGAGTTGTCTGTTGTCAAAGCAGTGCTCTTGCACAGGTGTTTTCATTCTGTATAATAAAACCAATAGATGAAATACACTTCAGATATAAAATCTATTGGTTTGTATCATGTCTGCTTTTATGTTGGTCAGTCATGTTATCATTTTGTAGTAATGCAGTGCAGAGTTTAAATCACACGGCGATAACCCTACAGCACGTTAAACACAGAACAGGGGGAAAAACCAACAAAAGAAAAGAAAGAAAGAACAAGGAATCACAATTTTTAGACAAAAGTACACAACATCCAACGTGCTGTCAGAGAAATCTGGGAACGACTACAAATGTGCTTTAGGTTAAATCCTCCCAAAAAGATGAAACCGGTTCCCAGTTCTTCTCACACGGACATGACAGCGCCGTCAGCTGACTTCACTGTGGTCGGTTCTCTTTTATGTTGCCAGCGTTGTCATGTTCATGTGGGATGAAGGAGGAATCGGGGCCGGCAGTCAGTGTGTGCATATTTCATCCATTTTTTGAAGCAGAACAAAAAGCTCTAAAAATTTGGTCCTGTCATCGGTGGCAGAACTGAGCTCTGACAATAACATGAGCAGACATGATCATCTGTCATGACCTGAAAGTGAAAGCTGCACACATTTAACACATTCTGGTTAAAAAGAGGAGAAGTCAATAAATCATGCAGACAGAGGCAGATCCATGTCAACGAGGAAAATAGACAAAAAGTAGGAAACCTACAAGAATTCCCAATCCTAGAAAAAAGAAATCACATTCTGGTATTTGACTGTGGAAGTTCATTACTGACTTTGAATTAGCAGCTTGACAAATGCTGTGCAGCTTTTAGCCACAGCTCAGGGCCTTCATTAAGCTCCATCATCTGAGGACGTTCCACCACTTTCCCTTGAAAAGTTCTATATGAGACTCTGGTATGTGCTTTGCTTTATTTATTAACCAACCTCAGGCTTCAGCGTGAGACATCAGACCTTAACGCCTTCTTGGTTTTGCTGTTTGAAAACTGAATGTGAAGAGTTTGGTCACAGAAACTGAGCTGGGAGCTCGTCAGTAGCAGACATTACTTTCTTGACCACTGTGCCCTTTGACTGATGACCTTACGGAGGAACTGTCGAACCACAGCACGACGGTTTGATCAAAAAGACTCCTTTCCCCAACATCATGGGTAAAAATGTTATTTCCCTCTATAAAAAACTATTGCTGGACAAAGTCAAACTATGTGCACAGAAGTATTTTTATCCAAGAAACTAAATCAACACTGGTCAAAAGAGACCTGTTCTCCCAGTGGAGTCTTGCTGCACATATAACATGCACGTCACTCTAAAACCCAGTGACGTCCAGGCAAAGCGTGCAGAGATGCTGGTTTCTGAGCGTCTTAGCGTCAGACTTGCCTTCTGTTCCTTGACATAGTTCCATAGCTTTAGCTCGCCGTTAGCCGCAGGTGATCTAACCTTTTCTTCTCCCCGTCTCTCAGTGCCATGGCCACGTACCCGCCCACCTGCTCCAACACCAACACATCCCAGGGGATGAACATGGCCAACAGCATTGCCAACCTGCGGCTCAAAGCCAAGGAGTACAGCTTGAACCAGGTGCCCACGGTCAACTGAGAGGAGGAGGGGCTGGGGGCTCGCACGGGGGGGCTCTCTCCCTGGATTGTTAAATCTCCTCTCCTGTGTGGGGCAGCGTTGATGATGTGCTCCAACACCCTTATGCAAAGTGAAGGACACCGAGCGACGGCAGGATTTCCCCCCCTTTATTTTCCTTGTTGTTTTTGCAAAGAGACCTCTGGACTGGATGCTGTAGCTGCTGCATAGTTTTCCTGGTGATTGTGACTGAAATGGAGGTTTTTCTTTTTAATCTGAGACCTTGCTGCCGACACAAACTCACGCACGGAGTTCGTCCCTGGCAGTGGAGTTGGATACACAGCAAAACTGGGATACGCAGCGCTTCTTTCCCTTTTTAAAACCAACAATCCAGCAGAGTTCCTCTGACATTTATGCAACTGTTTTTAAAGTTTTTGTTTTTTCACATTAGTTTCCATGTTATACAACTGACATGCATTTTGATTTCCATGTAATAGTCTAGTATAAAGGAGAGGCTAATGTATTTCTCAATCAAAAATCAGTAGATTTTCTTAATGTCATATAATAACCTTTATTTGTAACAAAATAAAAACTTGTATAATAATAAAATGCAATTCAAGCAATGCAGTGGCATTCCCCGGGTCTCTGATGAAAAGGAATGGTTTTTAAACTGTGCCCTCACACAGAGTGACTGAAACCTTAGGTTTGTAACTGATCATTACAGAACAGTCGGACTGCTACGATGGAGTCCGGCTTAAAATCTGCTTCAAAAACTATAAGAAACAATTTTTATCATACCTGAGACTCTTTGGAAAGCAAGATGATCCTGCGCGGGTCATAAAAGAGAGATTTACAGCTCGAGAACAGATTCTCCTCAAGAGAAACCTGAAGCCGGTCCTGCTTTGTTTTTTCTCCTGGTTATTGCAACCTTAAATTTCCATCTTAACAACAGGATATTTACGAGCAGAGAAGTCCTCCCTTAACATGGAGGGCCCCGGGGCCTCGTTTACCTCTGTGGCTGTCGTACAAGGTGTCGCTCCTCGGTCCCCTCTAACCTCTGCATTCAGCAAGCACATGCCGACGGCCGTATGACACCGCGGCTGATGTGGTGCTGCTCCAGTTGTTGTAAGACCTCGAGGAAAATGTGCTCAGGTCTGTCACATGAACATGTTCCTGTGGAAATGTTATTAGCAGGGGTTGATCATTTACAACTCCCAAGGAAAGTGGAACCCCAATTTACATCATTGTCAGAGACCAAAGTCCCTTCAAAAAGTTTAGGATTTAATTTGCTCTGGCAATGACAAATGTTACACACATGTTGGAACAGTGTTTGCGACATATTCTAATCCTCTTGTACTAAATTCATCATAAAAGTAACATCAAGTTCCAGAAATTGTTTTTAATTTTGTTGCTTGGCTTCATTTCCTATTCATTGCATTAATGTGTTAGCCTCCTGTTTCACTTTATTGTTAGTACTTCTACTTTTGTGCTGCTTGTAGATGCTGGAGTTTTACTGAGGTGTGACATTTTGAAAACTTACTTTGACCTTATTGCTTTTATCTCACAGTTGTTGTGTTGCAGATTCTGATTTTACATTCAACGTGTAACAAGCTCATTAAACATCCATGTTGCTCAGTAAAATTCCCTGAAGACCTGTAGAAGCAGCCTCGTTGTCGCTCAGTGTAAAGACTTTAATATGGAAACGCAGCTTGAGAATTTGTTTTTGACTTTGGCTTGTAATTCCTCATCAGTTTGAAAACTTGTGGGGCTTTTAATCGTTTCATTTTCTCCAGTTTGGCCAGTTTTACTGCTATGACTGTTTATTTTGAATGCAGGACTTTTACTTTGAACCGTTGTTCTTACGTTGTGTGCTGGATCTGAACAAGGGTTAGTCGCAGTAACACGCTGGTTCACTGATGTGACTTGAGGGTTTCTCCTGACTTGTATGCCACATTAACAAGGGATGTTTCTGTTTTCTTTGCAGCCGTTTTATTTTCTGCTGTTGGTTGTTTTCCTGAGCACCGATCCCTGACTGTGGTATGTCCAGTGTCAGACCCTGTCCCCCTCTCCCCTGCCAGGCGCCCGGTCTCACCTTTCATGGCCAGAGCCTGGCCTGGCCTGAAGTGATTCCAGATGTGGAGATCTTTTTGACCCCCCCCACCCTTCATCCTCTTTTGCGCCCCCGGGCCGGCCGCTCCATCAGGGCTGACAGCGTCCCCTCGGACAGCGTCTCTCCTCGCCTGAGCACATGACATACAAGGCGGCTCCCCAGCCCCACTCCTCCTCCCTCCCCTCACCCACCCCCATCCTCAGCAGCACATCTGGAGGTCATTACAGAGGAGACAGTACAAGCGAGGGAGGGGTGGGGAGTCTGCATGCATGAGTGTGTGTGTGTGCAAGAGAGCGGGAAAGAAAGCATTTCTTAACCCTTCTCCTTTCAAACATCCACCTTTTTTCCTCTTTCATCCTTTTTCTCTTTGTTTCTCTCCTTCTTCACTTTAGTTTTAACCCCCCCCCCGGCTGACTGATCTTCGTCCTG